AGTAAGAGTAGCAGAGGCGGGGGCCGGCAGTAAGAGTAGCAGAGGCGGGTGGCGGCAGTAAGAGTAGCAGAGGCGGGTGGCGGCAGTAGGAGTAGCAGAGGCGGGTGGCGGCAGTAAGAGTAGCAGAGGCGGGTGGCGGCAGTAAGAGTAGCAGAGGCGGGTGGCGGCAGTAAGAGTAGCAGAGGCGGGTGGCGGCAGTAAGAGCAGCAGAGGCGGGTGGCGGCAGTAAGAGTAGCAGAGGCGGGTGGCGGCAGTAAGAGTAGCAGAGGCGGGTGGCGGCAGTAAGAGTAGCAGAGGCGGGTGGCGGCAGTAAGAGTAGCAGAGGCGGGTGGCGGCAGTAAGAGTAGCAGAGGCGGGTGGCGGCAGTAAGAGTAGCAGAGGCGGGTGGCGGCAGTAAGAGTAGCAGAGGCGGGTGGCGGCAGTAAGAGTAGCAGAGGCGGGTGGCGGCAGTAAGAGCAGCAGAGGCGGGTGGCGGCAGTAAGAGTAGCAGAGGCGGGTGGCGGCAGTAAGAGTAGCAGAGGCGGGTGGCGGCAGTAAGAGCAGCAGAGGCGGGTGGCGGCAGTAAGAGTAGCAGAGGCGGGTGGCGGCAGTAAGAGTAGCAGAGGCGGGTGGCGGCAGTAAGAGTAGCAGAGGCGGGTGGCGGCAGTAAGAGTAGCAGAGGCGGGTGGCGGCAGTAAGAGTAGCAGAGGCGGGTGGCGGCAGTAAGAGTAGCAGGGGCGGGTGGCGGCAGTACGAGTAGCAGGGGCGGGTGGCGGCAGTACGAGTAGCAGGGGCGGGTGGCGGCAGTAAGAGTAGCAGAGGCGGGTGGCGGCAGTAAGAGCAGCAGAGGCGGGTGGCGGCAGTAAGAGTAGCAGAGGCGGGTGGCGGCAGTACGAGTAGCAGAGGCGGGGGGCGGCATTACTTCACCGGCGCGGCGATCCTGTCGGGAGGAGGAGCCCGCTCGTTGATCCGGCAGCGTTTATTCTCAGGTACATCGCCGGCGCTGCGGCCCTCGGGGGCGTGAGTGCGCCGGCGAGCCTGGCCCCTGTGCAGCCCGCGCCAGGTGCTGCTGCGCGCTGCCCAGGACCCCCCCCCCCCCCCTCCCCCTTTTGCCCTCTCCCCTCCTCCCCTCCCGTCCCCGCCCCCCCCTTTCCTTCCGCCTCCCCTCCCCTCCCCCTCCCCCTCCCCTTCAGACATGCCCCTCCCGCCCTCTCGCCCCCTCTCACTCCTCCTCCTCCCCCCCCTCCCCCCCTCCCCCCCTCCCCTCCCCCCCTCCCGGCAGTCGTCCGAAGCCGCGGCGCGCAGCCCCCCTCTCCATCCCCTACAGCCAGGGCCGGAGACAACAGGGCCGGAGACAACAGGGCCGGAGACGCCGCCGACAAGGCGAGCGAGCAGCAGGCGGGCATGCTCGCTGCCGCCGCCTCGAGTGTACTCTCGCCCGCCCGCCCGCCGCTCGCCGCCGGCGCGTCGCTGTTTGGGCTGGGTGGCGGCGCGGACTCGTAGAAGCCGGAGACTCCTTCTCCCCGTCTCTCGCCATGTCTGTACCCATCTCTCCACACCTCTCCACACCTCGCCCCCCCCCACACACACACAACACACCCGACGACCGTACTCCAGCCATGCCCTCGGTGTGTCTGCCCCCGGCCTGGCCTCTGTGTCTACCCCTTGATCTCCTTGATGCAGGCGCGGCCCCGCCCGCGCTGCTTGCGGCCACCGCCCTGCCCGTCGGCCTCGCGGCGGCGGCGGGGCTGAAGGCGGCGTGCCCCCCCCCCCCCCCCCCTCCCCCCCTCCCCGGTCCCCTCTTCCCCCCACTCCCCTCCCCTCCCTCCCCTCCCTCCC